GTAAAATAGTCATAAAATAGCAATAAAATAGTCAGAATGTAGCAATAAAATAGTTATAAAATAACAATAAAATAGCTATATAAAAATAGTAGCACTGCAACATAGTTACTTTATAAAGTAATAAAATTGTAGTATGATAATTAAAACCAGTTAAAAAATAGTAATGAAATAATATCAAATTAGCTGAAAACTAGCAATACAGTACCATGGTTGACAGGTATATTATCGATTAAAATTGTATAAAATAATACACATAAAACAGTTTGTATTCTTATTAGCTGCTGCCAATGCTAGGTTGTGGCAGTTTAGGGGCGGCAGGGGTGAATGTGGCAGTTTAAGCAGTGTCAAATCAATGGCATTGTTTACCACAGTCAGAGTTACCAACGTTTGAGTAACTGTAAGGAATCTATTACACGATTGGGTTTCAAATCAATTGCAGGATGAGCAGTCTAGTAGTCTACTAGCAGTTAGACCCATGCCACCAAGCATCTTGCAGATCAAGCAGTTATTGCCAATACATGCGAGCTTAATTGTCAGTATAAAAAGGTGAAAAATGGGCAAGCAGACCACAGTCGATAAGCAAAATTTTCTAGCTTGAGACCTCACAGTTAAATATTGTGTGCAGAACTTAAAGTAGGGAGTGTTAAGGAAAATTACATCTAAATATGTCAACATGAAACATCATGGGCATGAAGCATCAGGAGTCTAGCTGGACACTTTCCTTGGCAAATAAAATTGTCCAACATTAGGCAAGATACAAAAACATTTAAATATTAACAAACTGCTGAAAATTGGGCACTTCACAGTGAAATGGGTAATTTTATTCAAAAAAATTTTTTAGTTCACCCTTGTCGTGACTTGTCTCTAAAGATATATATAAAATGTAGTCCAAAGGTTGTTACATATATTATTAAGCAGATCATGCAGGTGGTATAGATAAATGTATTCATATATTATAAACTTTGAACAAGCAAACAAAGGACTTTGACTGTTTCCAGTTAGAGCACTTCCATAATCAAGTTGCCACACAACAAATTGATCAAATTGACATTTGTACCTATTAACCAACCCACCCGGCATTAAAAAATTCAAGCATGGCGTACAAAGGAAATTGATATTAACCCTCTACACCCATTCCATTGATATCCTAGTGCATTGTACTATTACCCTCTGATGTTAGACATGGTAAAATCAAACAGCACTGAAAGAATCCAGCTTTGATGCAACCAACACCTGGTGTTAGACTGAGGGTGAAAAAAAATTAAAGTAGGGTATATAAGTGCTATAATGGTAAAGTGCATGAGACATCCTTTTCCGGCTGATAATTTCAGCAAATATACTAGATAGATATAAGTAGAATATAATATAATGACATGTCTTGCAAATATAACGACATATCTTGTGAAACACTGGTGAAGGTGAATCATATTTGATTCAAAACATACAGTTTTTATAAATTGTGTGTTAATTACTATATAATGCACTCCTTATTCAGAATAACTTTTATTCTATGACTATTATGTAACTGAGACATGCACATTTAGCTGGGATATGCCTAGGTATTTATAAGCACATAAAGAATTGAGGATTGAAACTTGAGTAGATGCCAAGCTATAATATATTAATTTTGACACAAGAAACACTGCCACTGGAATCTGGCAATACACAACAATTAACTATTTGGCATAGATAGATATTTTATTTTTCCATTATACAGTTACAGTTTTGATAAAATATAAAGATACAATTCATATGGAAGGAAGACTAACAAGCCCGTCAGGGCTTTTCTAGTAGTCCACCCTAAAAAATTTAAAAAACAAACTAATATAACAAAGGAGAATAGTGTCAAATAATGTCAGGTTCAAGATATATGAGGTCCACTAATACAAATTAACTTTATAAAGTTATAAATTATTTTTATTTACATTTTTTGTGAGTACAACTAATAATCTTCAGGCATTAGTTAACACAATAAACATAATTTAATATAAAGACTTCAGGAGTCAAATGTAAGCTTTGAATTAAACTAACGTTTTATATCATCGTTTTAAATATTGTCGCGGCAAATTTTAAGCCGAAACATCAAGCACGTGCATTCTCAAAATTCAGGAATGAAGATTGAAGTGGAAAATATTTCCTTTCAAAATTGCTCCATTATACATAAAACATAACAAGATTCTTAGCTGGATATTATTCAGTCATCCCTGATGTTTCATCTTCGCTTATTAAGGCTTTATCGGCTCGGCAAATTCAAATTTTAAGCCGAAACATCAAACGTCATCAAACACGTGCATTCTCAAAATTCACGAATGAAGATAGCAAATATTTCCTTTCAAAATTGCTCTATTATACATAAAACATAACAAGATTATTACATGGATATTACTCAATCATCCCTGATCATCTTCGCTTATTCACGGTTAATAAGGCTTCATCGGCTCGAAATATCCAGCGAAATATTGTTAAACTTCGAAATCACGAACTGATTATAAAAAATGGCGGGGTGTAAATTCAGTGCTTCCACTTCCACTTTCACTTTCAAACAAATAATTTCCTTCCCAACTGCTCAAAATTTTCTTATTTTTGACAAAAATTCCTTTGATGAAGATGAATTTTACCTAGTTTAAAACTGATATTACAATAATTCATCTTGAATGACGGTGTATTTCTCGGGCGAGAAACACCATGAACGTTGCAATTATAAATTATAAATTAATTATAAAAAACTGCAACAGGAGGCTTGAGGTCATGCCTCAGAAATTCTTCAGATTTTCCATTCCCCAGGAGTAGTTTGGATTTTCGACATTTCCTGACGCGAATTTGCTTGGGAATTGCTATAATCTTAGGATTTATTAGAAATAACGTAATATCCTTATTTGCTTACTGAAAACAAAATTCCTTGCCGTTTCCTAGTAAATTTTATTTCTTTTTGCAAAGAAATTTCCTTGCAAGTGGAAGCACTGCATGGGATGACCAGTGGGGATGACGCTGTACGCAATAGTTGAAGCCTCCTCCTTTTCTCACCCTCCGCTGCTCACCCCCTTCCATTATTAATGATTGGTCCCTTATCTGTGTAAGTATTCTATTTTATTTCATTTTGCTAAGTAGGAAAATTCAGTATGTTTAATTTAAATAGACTATTTTATACATCTCTGCAAATTGTAATCCTGAATTCCTGTAAATGTAAAATAGGATTAAAATAGTGTATTTTATTCTATTTTGCAAATTAGGGAAAGTAAATAGGTTTAAAATAGTATATTTTATCCCTATTTGAAAAATGTGGCATTTTTAAAATGTGAAATAGGTTTAAAATAGTCTATTTTATTCTGTTTTACGTTTTCTGAAAAATAAATGGCTTTAAAATACTATATTTTATATCTATTTTAATTTATGTAATTTTCTGCACGTGCAAAATATGTTTAAAATAGTCTCTTTTATTGTTATTTTACTAACTATGAAGGAAAGATAGGATTAAAATAGTATATTTTATTCCTGTTTGAAATTTGTGCATTTAACTTGCAATGTAAAATAGGATTTAAACAGCCTATTTTATTTTATGAGTTTAAAAATAGTATATTTTATATCTATTTTAATTTCTAACTGCTTTTTAGTGAAGTAAAATAGAATTTAAATAGGCTATTTTAAACCTATTTTTTCCCTGAAGCTCTGGAAAATAGTATTAAAATATGCGATTTTATTTCTATTATCTATAAAAATAGGAATAAAATAAAATAAAACATTAATAAAATATGGCTCTTTCTTTTGGTGAAATATTATGATAGATTTAAAATAGGGTTGCTTCTGAATAAAATAGCATAAAAATAGGGGTGATAGTCATAAAATAGTTTTAAAATAGCAATATAATATAGTTATTTTCGCAAGGGGTAGCTTTATGATCATGAAGTCGTTTTTTTGTCTCTTTAGTGTTTCTACGCTGACAATTTTATGCATTTCCAACTTAGTATAGTGTTTGCTTTGGAATAAGAACGTGAAAGCAGAAATAAAAACTTTGTTGCAGCAGTTTAATTTCGCCGTACAAATATACCTGTTTTCTATTTCGAAGTGAGATATACAAGTGCAATTTGACCTTCTTTAAATTTGTACTTGTCCTATTTCTGACTCCATAAAAACTACTTTTATCCATGGAGAAACTATTTGACTTTAAAAAAAAACTTATGCTTCCACTTCCGATCTTTACAGAGGATCGACTTTCGATGGAGGTGATACTCGAAAATATACTATTTTCATTAACCACCTTTTTTATACCTAGAGTGACAAGAAATGTGAGGTAGCAGGAAATATTAATTAATTGAAGTACTAAAGTACTAAACTCTTGAATTAATAACGTTGTAGTTCTAAATTGACACCATATTCTCCTCATTGAAAAACTATTATTACACAAAACAATTGTACCCTTTTACACTTTTATAGTGCTAAAATGTTCTAAGAAACTATGTACTACTTTTCGAATTGTTTCCATTGCTTTTGAGATTTTTTCCAAAATGGTTTGTCCACTTTCTGTCTCCACTAATGGCCATGATCACATTCTTCTTCAAATATGCATGTTCTTCACATATATGATGCAGAACACCAAACCAACTATGCTACATGCAGGGTACAATGTATGTTACAACTGAGTATGAGAAATCTGATAATGTTGTACAACAATACTAGTACTGCAAATTACTTTTGCCACCTTAAGCTTCTCGACATTGCATGTGATTGGAATTTTCCGCAATATGTCAAAAAATAGGTACGCAGTGCGTACATGTTGCATGCCATCAAAAATTAGCCTGAAAACAGACCTACGTTCCGCCCGCCCTAAAATTCGCGGGTTGACGGATCCGTCGACCCGCGAATTTTAGGGCGGGCGAAACGTTGGTCTATTTTCAGGCTAATCAAATCCATGAACCCTTATGACACAGAATGCTATACAGAAATCGATTTCCATTGTTTTTTGCGTAAGCGCTATTCGTCATGATTGATGATTCGTCACTCAGCAAGTACCGTAAACAGAAGCAGTCACCCCCCCCCCCTGGTCTGGTTATGATGCGCTAGCGCTTATAACTTTTGGTACAACTGGCCTGAAACTTAAAATATTGATTCAATAAGTTTAATTAATATCAATATATTTATTGAAAAATAGCTATTATATCAAAATAAGAAAACTTTAGATTCTCACGCGAATAGGCAATGTTTTTATGAGCGACTGTTCATCGTTAGTTGCAAACGACGGTAATTTGTAAACAAGGTCAAGGTTTTATCGAAAGCGATTGACTGTTAGATTTCCTTTACTATTTTATAACTATATAATGTTATTTCCTACAAATTTAGCTTTATTGTAGCTTTATTGAAAGTTTAAAAAAAACATGGAAACGGTGAATTACTACAGATTGAAAATAATTATTAAACTATGATTGAAATTATCGACGTAGAAATGTAGAATGCTATTTCGTTGTATTATAAAATTTCAATAGTATTAATGAGAATTTTGTTTGATATTTTTAATATATAAATATTTCATGTTATTTACAAAATGTACTGTAGTTTTGAAGTTTTGCACACAATATAATCAATGCGAGCAAATAACTCCATTTCAGTTTGAGTATTTAATATATTTAAATTTAATATTTTGATAGCGTGGCCCGCTTTCGCGCTATATAATAAACGCCTGATAAATATAAATCAGTGCGAGCACAGCGGCTCCAAAATCACAACAAAATATAAACAATATAAAGTAAATTAAAACAGCAAAGCTTTACCTACCTCGATGTATTTTCTAAGGCGCTCGATTATGTAAATTTTCGGCGAACAATCAACATTTTCTTTGCATTTGCTCGACGAAAACCATGGAAGAAAACGTGCACGCGATTCAAAATTTATAATTATGCTTATTGTTATTATGCTCGTCCCACGTGATCTGCCGCAAGTTTCACCAACAACGGACACGAATTTTAAGCTATATGATAGTTGCATGCCATATATGGCATGCAACAAAAATGGTTGTGAATTGGTTCGGACCATTGAGAGATGATATGGCTGTCCTCGCAATTTCTGACTTTTGCTGCCTACATAATTTTCCACAGATGAACAGAGTATAACTTACTGTTTATTTGAAAGAATATAAACCATATAAAGAAAATAAGCCTATAACTAAGTCTAAGACTCAATGCAATTTGGATTATCCCCGAGCCAACGGCGTAGAGCGCCGTTCCGCGGGCGTAAGCCCGGGCGAGGGCACTAATCCCCTCCCCCCGGCTATTTACACCCGGAGAAAGGAACGCACTAGCGAAGTCTAAAGTTCATCAATTATCACAGGCGCGGTTCATGGATGTATGGGTGGTCATCTCACTGATCTCAAAATATGGCTGTTGGCCAGGAGTGAGGAAGGGGAAAATATCAAAATTACATGTAAGAAAGCTTGGAAAATCATTTCACATAACAAATTATCAATCTTTTTTCAATTTTTAAACGTAAACATTTATAAGAATTGATTTAGTATGAGAAATCCTAAAGTTTAGCCTATAGGGCAAGTTTGTCTCAACTGGTTTATGTATGACCTTGTATTAATGTTATAGACTTTGTTCTTGTTGTTCAAGTCTTTCCTATGGATTGTATGCGAAAGTTTCATAGTTAAATTAACTTTTGTAGAAGTTCATGATAAAAAGGAAAGCAAATTATTTTCATTAGCGTTCTGTACGAATTAAATTTATTTCATTCAAAGTGCGAGTAATAAGTTATAAGTTGAGCTCAAGTTATCGCGATCGGCAAAAAGCAGTTAATTTCAATTCACATTTAAAAACGTTTTACGTAGAGTTTTGTTTTCAATTTTACATTAATTTAAAATAAAGCACATAGAAAGCAAAATCATATACCTACTTTATATATCTTAGAAATTGATAGTTCTGTACTTAAAAGTGTTCAAGTTTCATCTATTGTTTGCAGGTTTGAGATTTGTCCAAATATTTTTTAAAAAGTTATCGTGTTGCAATGACAAACACGACGTGAGAAACGCTAGCCTGCGTTTAATGTTGGCGTAATTACGAATACTTCATGTTGAAACAATGTTTGGAGAATATAGGCGAGGGGTTGTTGCATGCATGTATATCTAGTATGAATTTATTTTAAACGTTTCGTCCGTTTAATATCCGACAACAATGTGTTTATGCAGCAAGAAATTTCGTTGTCAAAATAATTTTCCACCGGCACCGGAATGTAATTCAGTGCGAGCCGTATACATTTCGTATCGCGCCGAAAAAAAAATTTGCTAGCAAAATCACAATTAGTAGCAATGGATATGCCAATTGTCTCGTAGATCATTTTGACACGACTTTTTTCCGTCCTTCGTTTTGCCCAAGCATCCAACCTGCGAATTTTAGGGCAGCAAACAAAGGTTTGTGATCAGGCTAGGTAAACTCATTTTTATATTTTTTCGACACCAGAAACGCAATTTTATAATTTTCAATCCCCGAAATATATGATGAAGATTTGCCCTTAGATATATTCCACAAACTTCAATTTTGTACGTCAGACACTTCAGAGACCTTCAATTTAAAAAAGCAATTTTAAAACAATCACACAAACAGAAAATTGGACAGAAAATATTAAACAAAACATTGAAACAATGCTTCTTGCTGTGCCTTATGTAGTTATGTTATTAAGGTTGCATGGCCGTAACATGCGTCTTTTACGCATTTTTTACTCCACTTTCGTAATTCCCTTCCTTATTGTGGCTGTAAATAGCCGAGCGGAGTTATTGCATAGCATGAAAACTGCTTTTCCGGTGAAATTTGCTAAAAAATTCCCAAATTTCTCCGCAAAATATCCACCAAGGTTAACAGTTAATCCTAGGGATGAAATTGGAAAAGACACATCTTCGAATAAATGGACGGCGGCGCCATGTCGATTTCATTATGCTGCTTCAAACACCAACTGCTTTCACAGTTTTATAACTTGCAAGATTAAGATTAACAATACTATAGCGCAAATTCACATGCGCATATGGATACGATCAAATGCGCTTTATGTCAAGTATTATACGTTTACCTATAATTACTCACTTACCCTATATAATTTTATAGACTATAATTTTATCTTTACAACTTGCAACTGTGATATTAGTTTCTTAACTGCATGTGTTTATCCTAACCCACCCCATCAACTTTCCCTCTGAGAAGAACTGGAGCACACTAACTCACCTTCATTCACCTTCAACGCACTTCAACTTCCCTCTCGATATCAACTCGCGACGATAATAATCACCCGCGTTCCATGGCAACCATGTAATGAAAATCCATCCACCGCAATGGGCAATATTTTGGCGTTTAACACACTTTACTTAAAAAAAGGCCTGGTTTTCCCCACTTTTTATTTCATAAAACATTTTCTTGTAGTACAATAAACTATCTGACCATGCAACTTTAAAGATGCTGCAAAGTCTGTTCTGCGCATCAGTTCTGCTCATAAAAAAGGGGAACCAGCAGATATATATATATATATATATATATATATATATATATATATATATATATATATATATATATATATATATATATATATATATATATATATATATATATATATATATAGTGTGTTGCTACAAACACAAATAATATCAGTCAGAATCACTTTTGTATGGTCTTTTCAAAGTTTAAAGACTATCTAACACGTAATGTCAACGGCAGAATCAAGTGGCTGGGTGATTTTGAGAATTTGAAGCATTTTATGGCAGAATTATATGATGCTGGAGGTGTCTGGAACTCGCCCGGGGGAAGTGATAAAGTATTTCTTTATGATCAAATCAAGCTTACATGGTATGCGGACAACAACTCTATGATATTTAAAGGTGTTGATGGCCAAATTCTGGAACGATTGGTGATTTCTACGCTAGAAACTGGCGTGCTAGAAACTGGCGTTTTATTAACAAACGTGCATAGTAACGGCGATCTTGAGTTAAACACATCAAATATTGAAGTTTGTGATAAAGACAAGGTCGAAAGCTACTTTAAAGATTGTTCTTCTCAAACGGTGAATCATCATGAAAGATGCACGAATTGTGACCGATTATCAACAGAACTGACTGCTGCTGTAAAGAAAATTGATGGATTATATGAGACTGTGAACAAAATGTTCGAGTTGGTATGTATGAAATCAAACTCAACATTACTCACTGGCACGATTATGCATGACCTCAGGCTAAATACAGATTTTAGTTCTGCTAAAGATACAAACAGTAATTTGCGAACTGTTTGTGAACTGTCTACAGATCTCGAAGGAGTTAAGTTGGATGCTGTTATTACGGAGTCTAAACATTCTAAAAACATCCATTCAAACCACGAAAATATTAACAAAAACATGAAATTTATTGATAAATTCTCTCATGAACTGGCTATTATGCAGTGCGAACAACAAGATCATTTTCGAAAAATTTCTAAACATGCATGACTTAGCAATTAATCAATTAATTCATTATTTAGAAACTATTCAAAGTGAGCAAGGAAAACACAATCAACAAATTAGTGAACAATACACAAGTATTGAACAAATAAGACAAGGATTAGCCGTTATGCATGATGAACATGTTTTGAATCACTCAAGCAAGAACTCGTCAGAAATAATACAAAGCAAGGAAATAAAAAATGTAAACGTTAACAGCATCTCCAGTCATGTAATTATTGTACATGACACAACCTCCTCGGCTATGGAAACAATACCCAATCAAGACAAACAATATGATTACAATGTCCATTACCCGTTTGGTAATAGCGATCGACCTTTAACAGAGATCATCAAACTGTGTGAAGATGTAATTAGTATTGATCCAGATAATAGTTTAAACAAAACCCTGCAGAAAAACTGTTCATTACTTAAAACCCCAACAGAAGACCAACAAAGTGTTACATTAAAATCAACCCACTGTAATGAAGCAGCGGAATCAGGGTGTGAAATTAATACTATTACTAATCTGGCGAATGGCGAATCTCTTGCTCCCGAAACATACCAATCGAACGAAGAATTGTCCCATTCCATGCCAGCGAAAACAGTTAATTCAACTTTAAAAACGCAATCAGAAAAATCGGGTCCCTCCGAACAGGTCAGGGCAAAAAGCAGTGAATTAGTTTTCGGACAAACGCCAAAACAAAACACCGCAAATAAGGTCAAAGGTCACAAGTCAATCAAGTGTACAAAACGTTTATCGAAAGAGATATATTACGACAACAATATATCTGGGCTAATCGATAAAAGTGAAATAAATTGCAACCCAGGGGTGCCTGTCAGGCATGTGGAGTGGGTGGGACGGCTACCTTTGATTGAATCTTCATATAAGTCTGTATCGTTAAGAAAATCTACGACTTTAAACGATTTCCAGCGATCGTGTAAGAGAAATTTTCGGAAGAGTCGTTCAAAGCACCGTCCCCGGGACTGGCAGAGGTACCTCGAATTTGTTCGGAAAACGTTACACCCTCGTGTGACTCGGCCTCCAATTCGCCTACGAACAACAAAGTAATTTCTATTGTTATGTCACATTGTCGGACCATAAGTCATCGCATAGTCGGGATTTTTTTTAGTACCATTGACACACATAGAACATCTAATAGACCGAGTGGACATTGTTCAACTAACTGTATCTTAATTCGCACAGAACAATATGAAAGTACCAAAAAGTATTTGAAACTGTGTCTCCTGAATGCCCGATCTATCAAGAACAAATCTGCGGATTTTGTTTGTTATGGACTCTCCACTGGTGCTGATGTTTTTGCTATCACTGAGACTTGGTTCGCAGATAAAGATATGGCACATAAGGCTGAGATCACTTTGCCCGGTTATAAACTACTCGATCATCCCCGTACTGAGAGAAGCGGAGGTGGAACAGCTTTGTTATTTAGGGACAATATTACTGTACACAAAGTCGACTGCGGCGAACGCAGGTCATTTGAGTTTTCCGAATGGATACTACAATATCGCTCCTGTAAACTGAGAACTATTATCGTTTACCGTACTCCCTATTCTGCTGCACATCCTGTTGTCACAAGTGTATTTTTCGATGAATTCTCCACATATTTGGAATCTGTAATCATGTCCTCCGAACCTTTGTTAATCGTTGGAGATTTTAATATCCATGTCGATATCTCACGTGATCCTAACGCTATTCGATTTCTTGATCTGTTGTCCTCCATGGGCCTTGATCAACATGTTGACAAGCCTACTCACACATCTGGACACATCCTTGATCTGATAATCACGCCGGAATTCTGATATTTTACTTCCCACTCGTCCTTTAACATATTATTTGTTTTCGGATCATATCACAGTCATATGCGACCTCACATTAGGAAGAATACCACCAACTGAGAAACAAGTATCATATAGAAAAATTAAAGCAATTGATAAAACAAGACTTCGAGAAGAATTATTGACATCAGATCTTTGTATAAACAGTCATGATACGCTTAATGAACTTGTGAAATGCTATAATGATACTTTAGCTCAGACACTAAACCGGCACGCACCCCTATGTACGAAGGTCATCAAATCTAGACCATTAGTTCCCTGGTTCAATGACGATATTAAAATTGCAAGGCGAGAGAAGAGAAAAGCCGAGAGAAAATGGCGCCGTACTGGCCACACTGAAGACATGAAGAACTATAAAATTACGAAGAATAATACGAACAAGCTAATGAACGAAGCCCGTCGCCAATTTTACAAGAACTTCATTGAGACAAATAACTCTAATCAACATACGTTATTCGCAGCCGCGAAGAAATTACTTAATCATGGTGACAAGAGAGTTGCGTTTCCTCCTTCTGTTGATAAACTTGAATTTGCTAACCAAATGGGTACTTATTTCGTTGAAAAAATCCATAATATTCACACTAATCTTGAAAATATGGGGCACGATTTACCCGAGTTTGAAGTTTATAACACATCTGAAACAACTGCTCATCTAAGTAACTTTAACACACTCACCGAAGAAGATGTTCGAACGCTTATCAAAGAGTGCGGAAAAAAGAACTCTGCTGTCGACCCCATGCCAACGTCACTGGTGATCGACCTAATCGATGTGTTATTACCGACTATCACCAAGATAATTAATCTGTCATTGGACTCAGGGACGTTTGCTGACGTCTGGAAATGCGCTCTTGTACACCCGCTCTTGAAAACTGTCGGAGTGGATCCACTTTTCGTGAATTGTAGACCTATAAGCAACCTACAGAACATTTCCAAATTAACTGAGAAAATTGTATTTAGTCAGACCCATTCGCATATGATGGCCCACTCATTATATCCTGAGCTACAATCATCTTATCGTCGATATCATAGCACTGAAACCGCACTGCTCAAAGTTACAAACGATATCCTGCTAAAAATGAACTCGCAAGAAGTTACTTTACTGGTTACACTTGATCTAAGTTCCGCGTTTGACACTGTCAATCACGAAATATTGCTTCGCCGTCTCCGAAATGAGTTTGGCATTCACGGAAAAGTCTTGGATTGGTTCAAATCATACCTGCACAACAGAGGTCAGCAAATTTCTATCGAAGGTATACTATCCCAACGTTTCGATTTGGACTCAGGAGTTCCACAAGGGTCGTGCTTGGGTCCCCTTCTTTTTATTATACAGGGTGTATAAAAAAAACTGAACAGATTTGAAATTGCTGTCAATTTCGCAAAACACCTATTTGTATCTGTTTTTTTATATATATAGCTTCTTTGGGTACTTATAATGTAAAATAATGAAAAAAATTTCTCGAACCCAAATTTTGTGAACCAGGGGTGTGTGTCTTTTCCAACAAAATAAAAATGGCTCGCGCACAAAATTTAAAAGCTGTAATCATAGTTTGAGTTAACAGATTGAAAATTTGTCGGGTTTTTAATTACTGTACGAAATTTCAGACAATTTGGTTTAGTTTAAGCCCTTTAACTATTCATTTTGTTCTAAAAAGTCAGCCTTTCGCTAGCTTAATTAATGCCTTTACCTAATTTGCATATTGCTGACATATGCAAATTAGGCAAATGCATTAATTAAGCATGCAAATAGCTGATTTTTCGGGAAAATTGTAACTCAAATTGTCTGAAATTTTGTACAGTAATTAAAATCCCGACAAATTGTCCATCTATTAACTCAAAATATGATTGCAGCTTTTAAATTTTGTGCGCCAGCCATTTTTAGTTTGTTCGAAAAGACACACCCCCTGGTTCACAGAATTTGAGTTCGAGAAATTTTTCTCATTATTCTACATTATAAGTACCCAAAGAGGCTATATATATAAAAAACCGGATACAAATAGCTGTTTTGCGAAATTGAGAGCAATTTTAAATCTGTTCAGTTTTTTTTTATACACCCTGTATATGCATCCAAGCTGTTTAAAATAATTGAAGATCAGCTTCCCGACTCACATGGTTATGCCGACGATACACAGCTCTACCTCAGTTTTAAGCCAAGTTTAAGTACGTCACAGGAAGACGCTTTATGTGCGATGGAGTCTTGTATCGATAAGATAAGACGCTGGATGATTCAGGATAAACTCCTGATGAACGATGGCAAAACTGAATTCTTGGTCATTGGCACTCGTCAGCAATTATGTAAACTTCAGCCTATCAGCATTTCAGTTAATAATTCTGTGATTTCTCCTAGCCCGCATATTAAGAACGTTGGCAGCTGGTTGGACTCGAACTTAAACATGACTACTCATATCACAAAAGTATGTAAAGCCTGTTTTTTCCACCTGCATAATATCAGACGAATTAAGAAATATCTATCAAGAGACAACTTACTGATCCTAGTACATGCTTTCATCACCAGCAGGCTCGACTACTGTAACAGCTTATTCTACGGTCTCCCTGGAAAGCAAATATCTAAACTACAGCGTGTTCAGAATGCCGCTGCAAGATTAGTAATGGACGTTCCAAAATATTCTCATATTACGCCCGTACTGTATGAACTACACTGGCTTCCGGTACATGCTAGAATACAATTCAAGGTGTTACTATTTGCTTTTAAAGCTATACACGATCTAGCACCATCTTATATTAAGGATCTCATTAATGTCAAATCGAAGTCGTCCTTCAACGTAAGATCTAACAATGGCACTCTACTGGAACCTCCAGCAGGCAGGATGCTTACCACCTTGGGTGCCCGATCCTTTCACGCGGCTGCACCTCATCTTTGGAACAGTCTTCCACTTGGTATACGTTCACTTATATCTATTGACTTGTTCAAGAAATCAATTAAAACTCATCTTTTTAGGAACGTTTTTACTGACTTTTTATAAGATACGAATATTGAATTTTAAGAATGTTAATATTTAATAAATTCATCAGTAACAATGTAAATAATCAATAATGTAAATATTGTATCTATTCTTAACTCTGTGAAGCGCTTTTGATCAATTGTTGTAAATAGCGCTATATAAGTAATAAATTTATTATTATTATTATTATTATTACACACATACAAACCCAGATGATTACATAACCTTCTGGCGGAGGTAATGATTACATAACCTCCTGGCGGAGGTAATGATTACATAACCTCCTGGCGGAGGTAATAACTAATTTATTTACTTCTTGTTATCATTGTATGTATGAAAATATTATGATTTTCAAGACAAAAAAAGGGTCAACCTCGTTGTAAGGGTCTTTCTTAGAACGGCGCGAGGCGAAGGAAAAACCCCGTTTTCGGCTGGTCACGTGTCAACAAGATTCTGGGTGATAAATTAAAATGATACTATGGGCAGGGTGGGAGAGGAGCGTGTTTGTCGCGTTTGTAACAATATTTGCAATTTTGTGTGATGAAATTTAAATTTGCAAGAAGAAATCGTGAAGAGAACTGCAATTAAAAATTAATATTTATCGTGATGTGACTTTCTGCTCTATAATCTAGTGTTGAGTTACAATTCAAGCAAGTTGGATCAGATTTCAACTTATAGACTTGCCAAACACGCCTGGGCGGCGTGGCAATACGCCTACAAGAAAATTCATATCTCTAGACCGACCAATGTGGTTTATATTTATTTAATTGTTAGTATTAAAGTATATCCTGATACTTGGACCAAAAGAATATATTTATTGATGAGATGTGGAATTAGTGGAACGAGATAGTGAGATCTTTTGATTTCCGAAACTGTATCGCCCGAGGTATCGCCAAGACGCCAACTGTATCGAGATTGTTGATTATAAAGGCCTTATCAAAAAACTTAAATCCCGTCGAAAGACTATAAAATTTCCTGCAAGATCTCAACGATCATGGTATATGTCAAAGTCTAGCTGTCTGTTGAAAATCTACGCTATTACAGTAAAGTCATACATCAAAGATAAGTCGAACGACAATATATTTATGTCTTTCAATGAGCACTGTTTAGTACTGTCTGTGTTTATACCACATTTATAAATTTTATAAACAGCATTCGTTTTGATACAAGCTTTAATTTTCTGCTTTATATTCAATTTTCTGCTATATTCTTAATAATACAAGTGAGATTTAAATTTTTTGCTTTGTGAAATAGAATACCGTTATTTTTTAATGGACAGCTTGTATCGTCTCTATCATATCCAGGATTGCTTGTGTGTAAATAGCCTACATGTATCACTATATATGCCACTATCAAATAAATATAGAAATATAAATGAACTTATTGAACTAGAAATAAACAGATGATTGAGAGACAATGAGAACTGTTAGTCGAAAATTTATGTGTACTCGTACGTATGGCAGTCTGTGCGCGTCTGACATTGTAAATTTGTGATGTAGATTATAATCTAGCTAGTTGTCTGTATATTAGGAAACTTATCAGACCAAGAAAAAGGCTAAAGCCTTTAATACTATAATTAATAAATATAATACAAATTATGTACTAAATCCAAATTTTAAAGATAAATCACTGACAGACATTTCTCTGTTTGGCTGGTATCAAATGTTTACATTTGCTGATATTGGACTCTACTCTCTAGTTCTACTGTCTAGTAATACAATACAATACTGTTTCTTTTAAAAATCTTATAAACAAGACGTGCAAAGCATAGTAACGTTTACAAAAAAGGACAAATCTAATGCTTGTTTTAAAAACATAACATATGTGGAAATGGTGACCACTGAAAAGCCCATAAACGTTTGTTATAAAACCGCGCTCGAGTGTGAAGAGAGCATTGAATAATAATAACACGAGAGCGAGAGCACTGCGAGTAACGATTTGCTTGGTTTTACTGTTGGTAAAAATGTAACAATGTTCTTGTAAATTCAAAGCAAATAAAATAAACAAAAATTAGCAAGTATTTTGAACTTACTGATAGTTCGCAAAATTTATGTTTTTTGTAATTTGATACTTTAAACACACACCCTCGGGCGATCAATTTTGGACGAGGCACGTGACCAGTCGATACCAGGGTCTTTCCTAAAGACCCTGGGAACGAGTTTGAAGAAGGGTAAGTTTTTTGTTTGTTTAACCCCTCCCTCTCCCCTACTTTTATTTTCATTCAGTTATGTGCTACTATGTTTCCACATAAATATCTCATGCTACCAAATTATTTTTTTCTACAGTTTTGCAATTCTGACGGATGTGAATGGTGCCATGTTAACTGCTGGATGAAACCAAATGGTTGTTACAGCCAAAATATAATATGGATATATCAGCCTAGACCTAGGCCTTCTACTTTTATTTTTATTTTTTTAATATTCAGCGCTTTTTCACATGAAAAGACTGGGACTAGGTGATTTGGGGGCGGGCCGGAGGAAGGACACAAGCCTGACGCAAGCGAAAAAATAGAAGGCCTAGTGGATTTCCCAACAACAAGGCCAAAACTGCCCTGAAAGTGCCCTGGTTGAGAAATGCCCAATTATTGCGTTCTCAAACAGAATTATTTGCAACTTATTTTTAACAGCGAATTTAAACCGATACAGGTGAAATGAACTCATTTATAGTATAAACTTACTATTTTTATTTGTATACACGTCTAGAAAATCGTGTTTTTTTTATAATAAAGTTTGAAGCAACACTATTATTATGTTGACAAGGTGAAGCGAAAGCACAAAATAATAATTCTTTTATTCGCAAGACAATCTACTGTTTTGCTTTGAATAACTATATTTGCGAATTGGAAATGAGGATTTTGAAATTATTGTTCAAATATTACGGATATACCATTTGTAAACAATGTACGTTTTTATATACAGTACTGTACGGGTTAATAATATATGTATCCGTTTTATTTAATAAATTATAATTGTATATGTGTTTGTATATTTTACAAACACAAGACTGCTTCTTGCCAAAATTGAGAAAATATATATTAATGTAGTTGTGTATAAGACAAAATTTCATGAAAGATTCTACTTTTGGTATATATTTTGACTCATTTTGTGCTTTCGCTACACCTTGTCAACATATTAAATAATAGTGTTGCTTCGAACTTTATGATAAACTAGACGTGTATACACATAAAAATAGTAAGTTTATACTATAAATGAGTTTATTTTACCTGTATCGGTTTAAATTCGCTGTTAAGTTGCAAATAATTCTGTTTGGGAACGCAATAATTGGGCATTTCGCACAAGGGCAGTTTCAAGGCAGTTTTGGCCTTGTTGTTGGGAAATCCACTGGGCCTTCTAGGCTTGCTTCCTCCGCCCCACCCCCAAATCACCTAGTCCCAGTCTTTTCATGTGAAAAAGCGCTGAATATTAAAAATATATAAATAAGACCATCCTCGGACCCAGGGCCTCACGGCTGACACTGCGTTGCCGGAGGCCCTGGCGAAAACCAAAACCGGAACTTCAAAAATCTTGTAGTTTGCCGGAAGTAAACGTAATAAAATGCTGACTCTGCATCTTTTTTGCAAGGAGTGAACTTTGAGAATTTCTCGAAAGAAATAATGTTTTACATGCAAGATAAACATTAATTTGATCTGGTTATTTCACCATTAAATGATTTAATGATTGACCAAATCAGTAAACTAAAGGATCATGTAAATGTTTCAATTATAAAAGCTGTTCAAGTTGATGAATCGAAGGATAAAATGTGTAGTTTGGGAGAGTCATTGTATATGGACAGCAATCAATTGGAGAACATGAAAGTTATTGAATTTTTATTATAATCGACGAAATATACAGACAATTTAAAAGCGATAGTTGTGGACGAAGCCCAATCTTGTTACTGAATGGTGAGTGAGTGATACTGATATATTTGCTTGTTTCTCAATATTCTTTCTTTGCTATATTAATGGTTATCTGCAAGACTGTGCACATACAGACAACATAATATTCTGTTTAATACACCCGGTCTAAACGCAGCATTTTACATGTGCCAAGTCTAGAAAAGTTTGTTCAACCTTTTAAGTACTACCAAATTATTTTACTCAGCTTAACATGCCAGATGATTGAGTGTACTGGTCAATGTGAGAATGCTTAACTGCTCAATGGGTTAATCAGATTATTTATTGTACTTTACTATCTTACTGTCTAATGTCAGACAATTTTGCTCATCAAGGGGAGAGTGGGTATAATTGCAAAGTAATTACTTTGCCACTTTGGACAAATGTATAAGTTACATAGGTTTACTACGTACCGGTATGTACATAAATTCAACATTTAAATCAAATGTCAAACTTTATTATTTGAGTCAAACTTTATTATTTGAGTCAAACCATGTAAATTCACATTAGATTTGGCACATGTAAAATGCGGCATTTAGACAGAGACAATGAGCATAAAAACCTGAAATATTATGTGCATCCCACCCACCCCCTTCGTCCCTCTCCCCACCTTAATCTTGGTATCCGCAGATAACGATTGTTTGTAGGATATACAACTACCTGTAAGGTATCATGTGTGACTGCATACTACAAGCTAGTATCATATTGTACAGTTTAATACATATATATGATTTGAAATATGTATTTTCTTGCCAGCCATTTTCAATCATAAAATTATCCATGTTGCTGTTAAATTATGATTGGCCTAAAATTTTTGGCTAAAGATTGTTTTAATTTATAAACATTGTACTACTACTACCTTAGGAAGGATTTCAGGCCTTGCTATGAAAGGATTGGTATGTCGGGAAGTTTGTTTCTTCATCAACTCAGAGAAAGAAGTTGCATCAACAACTCTACAACGGTTTTTTGACAGATGTTTTAAGCGAAAGTATATATCAGAATCTGTAAATATTAGATATCTTTTAGAAATACAAGGCAGAAATATTTTTAAAGCTTCTGTAAATCAGAAGAGTGCCATAGTCGACTTGATACCAAGAAAAAAATCCACAAGCTACTCTTTGAGGACAGAGTTTAGTCAGTATCCAAGAGTGAACACGGAACGTTTTAAATTGTCGTTTGCAAATAGATTAATTTTTAACTATAACCTATTCATATGATGTAAACTTTACTAATTTATTCTTAATATATACTTGTAACATAAGATATGTATTTTTATCTTTTGATCTAATAAAAAGACTTTTGAAAAAGACTTTTGAATTGAATCAACTCAGAGAAATTAGAAAGAAATTTCATCAACTAAGAAAAAGAAAGAAATTACATGAACGAAATAAACAATTTTGTGTCATTGATATAAATAATGATTTATTCTTACAATTTCCTCTATGAAAATTTGGTGTGTTAATAAAGATACTGTAAAAAATAAATAACAGCTTTATGATGCATCCATGCAGTGCTTAAATATTGCAGTGGTGTAGTTAATGGAGGTGTGTGGGTAACAGTGTGCTTGTGTGTGGAGGCCGGATGCTCCAGGAGTTCCCCGACAAGGAATATCAATTCCCTGACAAGGAATATCAGGTTCCCCGACAAGGAATATCAGGTTCACAACAGGGGGCTATATATAATCTTTCAAACAGTAAAATTATTGTTTTGTATGTTCAACTTATGCTCACACATGAAAATGTTGAATTTTTTGGCTCTCATGAAATGGTGCAGAATTTATTGTCTGTAACAGTGCATTTACCAGCACTACAAAACAAGGTCATTACAAAACATAATTTTTCCCAGTACATTCCACTTCCCTGATTGGGGAGGGGCTAGAATTTCCACATAGGGGAGCTACAGCCCCCCCCCCCCTACCTGATCCTTGCACTGCCTCTGCCTTACCCAATTTCTCTTCAAAAGTTTACAAATTATAAATTTGGTGCTGTTGACATGAAGTGCTCCTCAATTTTAAATTTCAAAACTTTCCTCCTGTGCCTATGGTGACTAATTAAACCTTGAAATCTAGCACTATAATTTATAAAAATTATGTCAACTGCATGTAAGAGATTCAGAAGTTAGTTTCCCAGATGTTGACACATTACTTAATACTGAATGTATGTATACAGCATAAAATTGGGAGGCTCATCACCAGTGTAGCAAAGTTGCAGTATTACTATTAACAATATAATTTGTCAACTGTAAAAAAACATTGATAGCCTATAAATTAAGCAAAATATTGCATGAAATTTAAGGCAAAACAAGGTGGAAGAACTAACATTTCCAGCTATTATATTAATCACTTTGTCATTATTAAATAGTATTAAAATACAATATGTCATTATTAAATACATTTAATATAAAATACAATATTTTTACATAAATTAAGAGCCTTTGATGAAATTGATATAAAATCAATAAAGTATGTCTATTAAATATAGTGTATTATAAAATCATTTATATTTTATAATATACTATATTTAATATAATATTATGTATGGCATGGACCCCTCTTGCATTGAACAACCACACAGACTGTCAGACACTCATTGACGATCAGGATTTTCTCATTTGTAATTGAAAGATGCAAGACATCACTCACAATTTTTGTAGATTTGTACAATTAACGGTACAGTCTTTCTCGCATAGCCTTTCGCCTGTCTTTGTTTATACTCTGTATATAATTAAATCTCGTATATAAAACTATAAAATGTCCCTTGGCTTCCGCGATTTCAATCTTTAAATAATCCAATGTCCAATTTTGTGCAGCTTTTTAATACATTGTGACACAACATCCAACATTTTTTATATTAAAAATAAAATTTCCATTGATAGACAGCAGATTTCAACGACCAAAACGACTCTTCGTCTTCTTTGAAGAGTTAATACACTCCTATCTACTCCCATAGTCAGCCATATTTATTAGTAAAAGTTCGTGTTCAATTTCCGCATTCCATTGTTTTCATGCTACCAATCAAATCACTTCTCGTTTTGGTTTTCGCCAGGGCCTCCGGAACGCAGTGTCAGCCGTGAGGCCCTGGGACCGAGGATAAAATAAGACTAGAAGGCATAGGTCTAGGCTGTGGATATATTACTGTACATCTCATGAAAATGGATGGGAGCTTCTGGATTAACAGAAATGTATTTCTATAAACAAGAATGCTGATATACAAGATTGTATGGATATATTACAATACATCTAATCTAATCTAATCTAATCTAATGCAATGGGATATGGAATCTGACACGTATTATTAAATTACTGTACTTGTTTCCAATCTACCATATGGATGTCGGGAACATTATATGTCAAGATATTACATACATTTCTATGTACAGTAACCTTTTCTTCTTTTTTTTTAACAGCTTTATTAGGAACTAAATATATTACATTAATAAGGTACAAATACAACAGACATGCAGTTCCTAAACGGGAAAATAGCGAACGGGCCATAATAGCCCATGCGAGGCTACCTCCCGATTTGACTTCTGTCGACATTTACATAAAATTAAAAATTTTAAATCGTTGAAAGCACGTTTACACACATTCACGCCAAAGTGATAGGACCTATGTTAAAATAATTATTTGTAAGCCAGATAAAACGTCATTTGGTGGCTTCAATCTTAAAAGAGGAACCCCGACCAGTCGTAACGCGTAAACGTGCTTTAACTCCTATGACAAGGACAATCTCTAACAACTGACCAAGTACATGTCAAATTTGCATAAAAAACATTCAATAAAAGTTCAATATAATGATTGATTAAGAACTTTTGAATGTGGTGACACTAGTAAAGCTGCTACATGTGGCAACTTTGCATATAAAGTTCCATATCTTTACAATTCGATTAAAAAATGAGGCCTGAAATGTAGTTGTTTTACAATATGGTATTTTTAAAACAACGGTGGAATTACTACTGAGACGTGTTTGCCCATGAGTGACAAAGGAGACAAAGTCTTCCACATTTAAGTCGTAAAATCCATGCAGAGCTTTATACAAGAAGAACATCAAGTCTCTTATTTCTCGATCATAACATAAAGGTAACATATTTAGAACAGATAACCTGTCTCGATACGGAACATCTCCCACCTTTACTTTCAGGATCCATCTAGTATCACGCCGGCGGCAGTGATCCACATGGTGCGCCCCACAACGGCCAAGACATTTAACGAGTATGTATCACTCAACATCATACCATTTTCGGAGGCCCAAATGAAGAATACTACCCAACGCATCGACGCTGTATGGGATAATTACCCAGAGGAAAACAACCTTAGAGCCCTCACGCAACAACGACGGGGAAATGGCCCACGGACAAGAGTCGGCGATGGCAGCACTCTAATCCCGAAGCGTGAATGGAATAGTGACTTTCTCAAGAATGTGGAGAACAAAAAGGAGCTGTTCTCATTCATCAGCGCACAGATTTCGAAGTTTGACAGGGACGGGAAGCTTCTGCTACGTACTCACTTCGAAACCGTGTTTGCCAATAGAAATTGTGACATTACAACTCTCCAGCCATGCAACCATTCCGAGGCAGACAACAGGATCCTCCTGCATCTGGCACAGGGTCATACAACAGTCTATGTTCTCACGGTGGACAGTGACGTCGTAGTATTGACAGTTCGGTTTTTCGATACGCTTGGCCTATCGGAGCTCTGGGTTGGTCTCGGAACCGGAAAAAAGTACCGTGACATTCCAGTCCATGTCCTGAATTCCAACCTTGGTCCATCAAAGTTTCTCGCGCTACCCCTCTTCCACAGCTTAACTGGGTGCGACACAACTTCGCAGTTCCTTGGTTGTGGCAAGAAGACTGCCTGGGCAGCCTGGACCAGTTTACCGGACCTCACGGACACATGAGTGGCTCTCACGGAAGACTCCACCCTCTTCAGTATTGATTCGGTGCACATGCAGCGGATTGAACGCTTCGTTGTCCTTATGTACAGCAAGGGCTGTAGTATTGCCAGGGTGAACGAAGCGAGGCATCGTCTCTTCACCAGTGGAAGCAGATCAAGCCGTTCTATTCCAGAATATGAAACGAGCATCATTGCAGGCCAGTTTCTACTGGGATAAGGCCACCTCCGTCCAGCAAAAAAATCCCCGACTTATCTGAGTGGGACTGGCATAAATATGGAACCATTACATGGCAACCTTTACGGACTACACTCACTGATGCTGCAGTGGCATGCGCCATTCTATTGCACTGCGCTTGCCTCAGGGCATGCCAAGGAAGGTGCAAATACAAACGAGCTGGTGTCAAATGCACAGCACTCTTCAAATGTGAAGGCGAGTGCCTTAATAACGAGGGCAGTGATGACCAGTAACACATGTTGCGAACAAGATAGATTAAAATCCAGAGCGTATACATATATGACATTAATGTTAAATAAACCAGTATTTTTGAATGGGCAATGTGGGTTTTATAAAATGCATTTAACGACGCGTCAGCAGACCTAGTATCCATTTTTAACATTTAATTGGCAATAAAAATTGATCAATCGTCAATTCTTATCATTACACGAGTGACTATGACCTGAAATTAAGGCTAATGAATTAAGGTTAATCAACACTGAAAAGCAATATAATTAGTCAAAATAGACATTAAATGTACTTTATTGAGACTACCTTTTCCTTGAACCGTTGCTATAATATCCAAAATCAGATTGTCTGACCCGCCTTGAAAAGTGTAGTTTTCACGATTCTTGCTTTTTTGGTTGTTCCAATATAATTGATTTCTAACCCCGGTGGCGGCCATATTGGATTTTGCAAATAAGACGGTCCTGGGGGGTGCCGACCTTGGCGCACACCAAAAATAAAAAAGTATGGTATGGGCAACATCTGGACTAAATTTGGTGCTTTTGGATGAATCTGAACCAAAAAATCCCCCACAGCCCTGACTAAAACACATATTTAATAAATAAGGCGCGATTTTCACTGACCGATAACTTTGATCCTGGTTTAAATTTTTCAAATATTTAGAAGTGCTATTATAACATTTTGAGTTATTTGGTCTATATATCTTTTAAAATTTCCTTTCATTGACCGTTATATTAACTTTCAAAAACGTTTTTGCCCAACGCGGCTATCCATTACACTTTTTTAATTAAGGCCTCCCAAATTCTCCTATATCTGGGACTCATGCATTGACCTTGCGTCTAATGTCAAAAATCTTCATCCAAAGTCTAGTATATGATATATGGCATTTCAAAGTATCTAGATTATTTAATTATTTATGACAGCGTTACGGCATTGACTTTCATTAATTATTGGTGTCCCTAGAAATCTCGCCAGTTTTTTGGTTCAGTGTTACTACAAAGAGGGAACCTGACTTAAACTAACTTTATTTATACTGGATAGCTCTAACAGTTCTAAACGGCTCTCCCAATTAGTGTTACATTATACGCCAATTGTTCAATGAGGCGAAATTTTAATTACGTTGAGAAAAGCGCCAGAAAATTTTCGTATAGTTGAACTATAGCTACCTGCATGGCAATGAAATTAGCTCACCCATTGTCAAAATTGTTAACAACTGCTGAGGCCCCGTTCAATTTCACTAATTAAATAATACTACCGACCACATTTTGCCTGAATTTTCCACGAAATTTGCATTTTAGGAAGCGTTCAAGAATGTTCATCCCTCGCAAAACATCGAACTCTCCCTCTTCCCTGCAGTTCCGCCCTGTGCCTAACTTAGTGAATCATTGCTTTCATTGTACGCTTAATAAAGGAAATAGCAGACAGATATGTAAATATTTTACAAACACAATATTAAATAATTTAAATATTCAAGTGTCTTCCTTTAGCACAAAACGAGAGCTCTGAGTAAACAATGTCAAAACATGTCAATCCTGCATTGTAAAATTTTGAAAAATATATGCATAATTGTGTCGTGTTGTCGCACCGCGAATGCAAAATAGTGAAGTCTATTTACCTTGTTCTTGTACTTTCTTAAATATTTGTTATAGTATCCCTTTTTTCACTCTTTGAAATTGCTTTCCCAGTTCTTGCTTAATTCTTCTTGATCGTGTGAAAAATGCTAATTTAAGAGCTGTAAGTTATACTTTAGCTCTTGGAACAAGAACAGCAGGGACACACACGTTTGTTTATGATCGTCTACATTCAAGGACAACGCCTGCTAGGGGGTTTTGTTGTCGTTATCGGCGTTTGTATATTATGTGTCCATCTGTGTGTCTTTGTGTGTGCTTGTCTACATGTCAGCAAGCTAGCTAAAATATCAATAGACATTCTCAAGGACAAACTGATTAAATTTTGCTTAAAATTAGATTAAAATTGGAGTAGAAATTTTCAAAAGTTTACATTGCTTTCTCAGGCAGAGTAAACTGAATGCGCAATTAGCCCATTGTATAATTTATGCATGATACATAACTTAATTAGCTGACGGGAGGCATGCATTCTCTGAGTGAGAAAGCTGCGGATTGATGTGGACACAACAGCCTGAAGAACACGAGGAGAACTTCGACGTTTTGAGCGAAGGCCCTTCGTTCGTAACGTTGAACCTCTCTTTGTATTTCCAGGTAGTTGTATCAGTATCAATTCGCAGCTCTCTTATTATTGGTACTACCTACACGAGTACAGACAGTTCGGGTGCCCTCTTTAGCTCGTCATATAGTTACTGTAACCTATAAAGTGTAACGTGTCGATCGGGCACAAAAACGCTTGGCCTTTCGGGTTCTTTTAGATTTCGCAACAAAATGACGAAACCGTAGAAGTTGTTTCAACTTTGCTCCTAACAAGTACTGTCGCATCGAAGGTCCTCCATCTTACTGTACCTGCACGGATTTCCCAATCTTTGTCGAGCAGTGATAGGTAAATTAATATACTTTAGTAAGTTAATGACAGGCTAGGGAAATTATTTGGAGTCCTGGTGTATATTAACAAAATGGAGTCCTTATTTTATTGTGATGAAAAAACCTGTTTGCTATACAAAGCATGTTCTACTAATCGAACATTTTAATATTTCCCAAATTACAATAACTCTACTGCATAAGTGCAACTATATTGTCAAAGATATATAGACAGGCGTTAAATTTTAAATTAAGGACCTTTTAGTACTTTTGTTATTATGATCAGTACATCTCTTTGAGTTTAGTAATAACCTCCGAACCACCAGTTTGTTGTCGAATCGGGACCAGCTGTGCATCTGAACTTGCTGTTCGTAGAAGCGTACCAACCAAAGTTATCTTCATCAACAACTGAACCAAGAGCTGCATTAAGATCACAGTTTGCACTGGCACGACTGTCGACATGCATCATTTCTCGTCCTATTTTTGTGTACCACAATAAAGTGCAATATGAGCATTGATGGCCCCGAATATTCACGAATTCCATCTTTTTGCAAACGCCGTGGCTACGAAAGGTCATTACGTCAAAATTCTTAAATGTTGTACGGCAGTAGTCGGTGTAGATGTGCTTTGCATCTTGTGGAAAGCTGCAGGTCACTCGCCAATGCGTTGATTGCTGTTTGCAATGATTCATTTGAGAGTGGGACATTCGATATCGGTACCAGTTGGGTGTGTTCTCGTTAAGTGGTGCGTTTTCGGAGAAAGAACGTCTCATAACCTCTTTTATTTTTCTGTTCTCGAACGAGAATGACTCAACGAGTGTCCATGCTGACCCAGGCTCGGATTCAAAATCACAATATACGGTGACGAAGCGGTTGTGAAAGAGAGAGATCTGATAGTAGCCATTTTTGCTGAAACCCATCCTGCGATAGTCAAGGCAACTTCGGGCTTTAGGTTTTGGCTTGATGCACCGGACTTTGGTTGGGCATGTCTGAAAGAATTAAGCTAATAATCAATTATACGTTAAAATATTTATATATTTTCATAATCTTGAACTGTCTGTGCCAGAGTAAGTAGTGCCAATTATATGAACAAGCTTTTGTTGTCAGGGATGCAACTACCTACCAACAAAAGCTTATTCATATATTCATATACTGTATAATATAGCAATACAATGACTGATAGAAAATATTTCTCACAGCACACAAATCTGAGTTGGTATTTAGCACCAATTATATAAATACCTGATCCTCCACTGCTCCTGAATATTTTGCGTTGCTGACCATGAAAGTCATCAGAATAAGTAGTAAATTAAATTTCATGTTGAATATCATGTCACGAAACTTTCAGTTGCTGTAGCTCTCTGCAATGGCACTTAACCAAAAATGTGAACACAAACCTTGCTCACAGAAGTTTAAGACAATCAAAAGTCATTATCATTGTACAGCTTTCAACTGAAGCGGAAGACGGGCAGCAAAATTGTAGGACATCTCATTGGATGCCGAATTTCGTATGGATAATAGCGAGTGATAGATTGACAGATTCACACAACATTTGATTAGTATTATAAAATGTTGCTCTTTCAGGGAAATTGCGGTTATTTTCATAAAGCACAATAAGTGAAAATGTAATTTATACGTATAGACTGACGGGTAGCTACACCGCTTCGGATTGATAGGGATACTATATACTGCTACCCGAAAACAAGAAGGGGAACTGAATTTATTACATAGATATTGATATTTACGGCACGGTTTTATTAATGTGAAAAGTCCTTTCAAGATTAACGTCAACCAATCAGTAACGCGAAACGATTATTTCACACGGGCGAAAAACGTTTCGTGCAAACAGCACTAGCCCGTGTTTACGTACGAGCGAATTCGTTCACTGTCGCCGGCAATGTTTTTCGCTGAATTTTATTTAGTTTGCTGCCTTTTTCTTGCTGCTTAAAGTCAATTTTTAATTTGAATTGGACAATTTAACTCGTATGTTTGCAAAAGATTTACAACACTACAAAAGACAAATATGAATCTATTTTTGAAAGGGACAAAAAAAAGGCACAAAAAATATCATGCCAGTTGCACGAAAACAACAGCGATATATAAGTTACATAATATATTTAGTTTTTGAAACGAATTATTAGTATTTTTCTCTAATATTTAAACGAAAAAATATTGTTTGTTATCTCTTTCCCGACAGGTCCCTATTAAGTAAATCACTCATGATTTACGACTTTGCAGGGTCATATCGTCAGTTGGGTGCATGCTATGTAGATGAAAATACCACCATTCGATTCAGTGAAACAATATCTCCTATAGTGTGTTTTCACGCGAGTCGCTGTGACGTCACTAGAATTTAGCGTCCGCCATGTTGGTGGAGTAAAACGCGTCACGTGCGAGGAATTTGCTAGTGTTTACTTATAGCTGTGCCAAATCTGTTCGAAATATTCCTCAATATGCCGGCTTTTTGTGTAGTTTTAAACTGTTCAAATGACAAATCTAAACGTACAGATCTTTCTCGGCTGCCGGGTGCCGAAAGTTATTAAAAATCAAGGCGAGGAAATGGAGATTTTGTGAACCGAACGCAGGCGAAGATGGCTGTCGGCCATATTAAATTGGAGTCGCCGAACGAATGAAACGCATATGCATGAGAATACAGAAGAAATGGTCAAAGAGAAGTTACAGAGAGTAAACGAACCTGGCGTGGTTGTTAAATGTTTATTTGATCCTATGACTATGGACGATATCGAAGACATCGCAGAAAATTTGCCAGAAAACTTGAGAAACGCCAGCCATATAAACACAAACAGACGTTTCAACCACAACAGTTGGCATTCAGACAAGCGAGTGTCATAATTCTATGCTTCAATCCGAGTTATAATTTCTGGGTGAACCATGTTCTGCTGACTTTTATTAATAGACAAACTAATCTCCTTGCAAGGGCACAGACATTTTCAAGTTACAAGCATCACAACACTGTAGAGTTTAATAAGAGTGTAGTCACTGTTAAAGTGTTAATTGGAATTACACCACATGGTACAATTTGCTTTGTCAGTGAAGCTTGGGGAGGGAGGACTTCAGATAAGTTTCTGACTGAGAACTGTGGCTTTCTGGACAACCTTATACCAGGTGATTTGGTTCTGGCGGATAGGGGTTTCACTGTCCATGAAAGTGTTCAGTTTCGCCAAGCCAAATTGAACATTCTGGCATTCACAAAAGACCAACTTTATTCTGCTGATGTGGAACAGACAAGAAAGATTGGTACTGTCCGGATACATGTCGAAAGAATTATTGGTTTACTGAGACAGAAATATACCATTCTTCAACAAACTTTGTCAACTGATTGCAGAAGAGGAGAATCTGTTCCTCTCATTTGACAGAATGATTCGAGTTTGCTCTGCACTAGTAAACCTTTGCCCTTCTACTGTACCTTTGATTGAACTAAAGTATTTTACAACATTATGTTTTCACCAAGAAACAGAAACACATTCTTTTAACATTTGAAAATTTGGTGGTCAAGTCTGAGAACCTCCCCATGGTGACCACTGGGCAACAGCATGTTGCGTAAATCAGGGGTGGGTTAGTAGGCTACTTTAATTGTACTTTGTCAAAAAGAGACCCCTTTGCAGCTGAAAAGTAAAAAATCTACCCCTGTTTGTTTCACAACATGCTGGCTAATCTCAGCAATAATGTTTCATGCAATTGTCATGGGGGCTTGTGATATGGGGAATAAACCTCCATTTTATCATTATGAGCTCCTCACTTGTGGGAGTCAAAGCCCTGATTCATGATTTGGAGGTTCCATGAGAATGGATACATTACTATTTCAACTAGGCCTGTTTGAATACCATGAGCATTGAAACAATGTAAAAACCATGTCTGTTGGGACTGTATTATTGGTGGGGGTTAAGTAATTGATAATTGAAGACTTTGGGTAGGCCAGGGCAATAAACTACTTTAGGGTCCCATAGACAAAATCAAAAGCCATATTTTGTGTAAAGTGCTGAGATTAGCCAAAAGGTTGTGCAAAAGTTTGCAATCGCACAGGGGTAGATTAACACTTTAACAGACTAACATATGACATTGTACGAATAACATGCAAAATAAAATGTTGTCCAGTTAAACAATATAGGGGTCCTAGTGTTCTAATCCGCTCCTTGTTTACACAACATGCTGTTGCCCAGTGGTCACCATGTGGAGGTTCTTTCTTGACCACCAAAAATGTTTAATGTTTATCAAAATCTTAAGTCTGTAATAATTTTCAAATGCAAAAAGTTTGTATCTTTGATAGAGTTTTATGTATAATAATTTTAACAGTTTAATAGTTCAATAAAAATACAAACTGAATATTGGTGTAAGCTTTTTTATATTGTGCTCTCAGCCGTCGGAAAAAGAGTATTGAGACCAGCTTTCAGGCAAGCATACAAGTAAGTTCACATCTGTATTGATACATTATAAAATCGTGGGATATTTGGATCCACCAATCCAATGTGTAAACAAGACTTGTCGCAAAAGCGATTGCAAATACACCACAATCTGAATCATTTGACTGTTGCTGTCTTCGAGAGATTTTGCATATTCAGACAAAGGAATCTCATGAATAATTACTTTTTCTGCCTCGCTGTTTACGTTTTGTTCCGAATCGCTGGCCGCCATGTTGGAACTTCACTCCACCAACATGGCGGCGTATAAAATTAATTTATGCCGTGACGTCATGTGAAAACACACTATACCTGTCGATAGTTTTAGTCAAATATAATTTTAGTGAAATTGTATAACAATTTATGACCTTTCGACAGGTCAAGCGGTGTCATATTTCATTATATTAATCAATTGTCTCGAACAATGTAAACTATCAATACCTTTTGCCGAACATAACTTCGGCCCCTTTTGAGATATCGTTTTCGCTATAGTCTTATTCGAAACAGAATCAAAAACACTATTGAAAGTGTTATTTTCAAGCTTGTAGCCTTAGTTTTTCGTCTTTTATTTCGGTATTTCAATCTGTTGCGAAACTAATGAAATCAGCGGGATATTTTTAACCGGAAATACATTTTAGATCTGCCAAAACATCGCGTGTTTACATCCTAGCGTTCGGAAAACATCGGAAATCGATTCTAAAGGTCAAATTACATC